CTGGAGATTACAGGCATGCACCACACGACTGCCTGGCTAACTTTTGTATCGTTTAGAGAGACGGGGTTTCCCATGTTGGCCAGGGCTGGGCTCGAAACTCACTGACTTCGTGACCCACCCGCCTCAGCCTCCCAAAGGGCTGGGATGACAGGCGTGAGCCACCGTGCCCAGCCAGTTCTGACTTTTTAACTTGTGATTTGACTTTTCCTGTCTAAAGTCTTTCCCTGCTGGTCACGAGTTGTTGAAGATGTTGCTTTTCTTCGTAGACAAATAGAGGAGCCCATGCACTGGGCTATGGACGCTAATACTTTGAAGATGTGCGAATGATTTGCAACCTTTGCTGCAGAAATCATCCTTCTGAGATGCTCTTTGGCTCCATAAATAAAGGACCTGTAGGAGAGAATTTATTTTGAGCATTCCTTGGGGAGAGAAGCAAAGGGAAAGTGAATGCTGCGTAATCATTCTTTGCATGCTTTATGGAGGGTGGGTTCTTGCAGTGCCCTGTAGTGGTTGAAAGCATCTTCATTGTTATTCTAAGCCTCACATTTTAAACAGAGCTGAAAAAGGACTCTAATTGCCGGCCTGGGATCCTTGTGTGCTGTAGGAATTCACTGAGGGTCTGGGGCTGAAGAGGCTGCTAGAGGGTGGCACAGAAGGAGATAGAAATTTCTCTCTGACTGGGCACAGTGACTCACACCTGTAATCCCAGCACTTTGGGAGGCCGAGGCAGGTGGATCGCCTGAGGTCAGGAGTTCGAGACCAGCCTGGCCGACATGGTGAAACGCTGTCTCTACTAAAAATACAAAAAATTAGCGGGGTGTGGTGGCGGGTGCCTGTAACCCCAATTACTTGGGAGGCTGAGGCAGGAGAATTGCTTGAACCCGGGAGGCGGAGGTTGCGGTGAGCCAAGATCATGCCATGGCACTCCAGCCTGGGCGACAGAGTGAAACTCCGTCTCAAAAAAACCCAAACATAAATTAAAATAAAAATGTTCTCTCTGATTCTGCCTGCCTGCTGGGCTGGAAGCACCATGAGGTCACTGTCCACGATGTCTTGTCACTGTTGAAGCGCCCCCAAAACATGCCAGACCCTTAGCAAATCTTGGACAGGTGAATGTGCGTCGGATTCAACATGTGTCTCCAAGGTGGGAGCTGAGCGGGAACTGCTGGGCTTGGGTCCCGGGGATGACGGAGAATGGCAGTGTGACTGTGGGGAAGCCAGGGGCGTGGGGTGCTGGAGCCCCCAAAGCTGTAAATCAGGGCCTGATGAACAGACAGATGGATCAACTCAGCCATTTCAGCCCCATCCGCTTTGATGATTTCCCTCTGGCTCTGGCAAGGGTCTTGCTCACCAGGTGGTTCTCACCCTAGGGTGGGTCTGGATATTTCTGGGGACATCTGTGGTTGACATACAGCGGGCCGGGGCGGGGGGGAGCTGGGGGAGATCCTCCTGGCATGGAGTGGGCAGAGGCCAGGGATGCTACTCAGCACCCTGCAGTATACAAGGCGGCCCCACCCTAGATGAAGATCCGGCTCTGAATACCACCAGTCCTGAGGCTGACAAACGCTACTTTAAGATAACAGTGGGCCGGGCGCGGT